TGATAGGACACATGTGTAGCAATTAGGTATCTTTATTCCGAAACTTTTCGCTTACACAGTAGGCTTCTTTAGTCGAGTACAGAGAAAGCAGCAGAAGCAGTTGAGATATAGATCAGTCCTTCAGCCTCAAGGCTGTGATTGACCACGTGTGTCTTATATATCGAGAACTCTTGGTGTAAAGATATATACACACCCAGAGACTTGTGTGTGGAGTCTTTCTACAGTTGGAGAAATCAAATTACTTTGTATCAGTAGCAGAGGTTTAAGAGATTGGCAGTACAGGCCTAAGTGGAGCCTAGAAGACTGCAGACTTTAAGTTGAAAGTATTATCATTCGCCAACTTTCAGTATTTTAGTTTTCACATCTCCCTCCGAAAATTTATGAACAATTTTCCCTGTGATATTATGATATTTCTGAGTATTAAACTATTAATTGATCAAGTATACTTATATAATCACCCATACAGGTATTAATAAACTAAGTGACTTGAAAAGTGGAGTGCGATTTATTTTTTCTCCCCTTGGTTAGTGGTTAACTGATTGATCAGTATAAGAATCTGCACAATTAACTGGTGGAAAACTATTAATACACTTAAGTGGTATATTACTAATTAGCTCTGCCAGGAGTAAATTAAGGAAGCTCAATCCTTACTCCTGGTTGTAATATTTTTAAATAATATTTTTAAATATATTTATATTTATAAAATATTATATATATATATATATATAATATATTTTAAAATTATATTTTCATGGAGGAGGTAAAAACGTATTCGATATTTGGGAGGGGGAGGGTTTCAGGGATGGGTCTATGGGGTGGGGGAAATCATAAAATTGATGAGGGAAAAAGAGGGTGGTGCATTTAATCTGTGGAGACAGAGAATTTGTCCTTGAGGAAAAAAGAGGGGAATGTATAGGTAATTTTACCAACGCTTTAAGGGGTTTGGGGGAAAACAGGGGTGATGAATGTTGAGCGGGGGAAAGGGAAGGCGGAGGCAGTGGAGATGTCATGTCTGAGGGCAAGTGTGGTGTGAATAAAATTTGCGAAATTCGTTAGTTGGAGTAGGAGGAGGGCGGGTTACCAAAATGTGTCCAAGCTGAGAAGGGGTTGTTGAGGTTTTCGAAGTAGAAGAATGGAGGAACAGAAAAATTCAAGGGGTGTATCAGTCTGTAGTGGAAGGAAGGCGGGGTAGGGTGGCCTAGGAAGGGTTGGAGGGAGGGGTAAAGGAGGTTTTGTGTGCGAGGGCTTGGACTTCCAGCAGGCATCGTGAGGTGTTTGATGGAGTGAATGGAGACAATGGTTTTAATACTTGACTGCTGTTTGATTTGAGCAAGTAACATTTTGAAGGATTCAGGGAAAACCGGGGGCCGGACTTGAGTCCTGGAGTGGGAAGTAATGCCTGCACTCTGAAGAGGGTTTTAATTTGTTGCAGTTTAAAAACTGTATTTAAAAGCACCTTCTGGAACGTGATGGAGGAATGATGGTTGAAAAGTTTTTTTTCTTTTTCGGGCCACCCTGCCTTGGGGGGAAATTCGAGTTGTAATAATAAAAAAAAAAAAAAAAAAATGCATGCAAAACAACCACTCTGAAAGAATAGAGAAATTCCAAGCGCTTTCGTGACTACTCACATTATCAAGGAACTATGAAAGTAAAGCATCCAAGGAAGGTATATAAGGGGTCTGGCCAACACCTCTCTATCAGATCCCACAACGGTTAAACACCTGACGCGCGCGTTTTATTGTGTTATTGAAATAGCTGTTAACGGTTTCTAGGGGATTTTTCCTAAGTTTAGAATAGGTTTCAGTATCATCTAAGAGATTATTCATTTTTTCTTGGTAATCATTTTCTTTCATAATTACTATTGCATTTATTTTGTCTGCTTTAGTAAGGCGCAAATTTTTATTGTTATTACGTGTATCATAAGACTTAAAGAATCTTTGAGGGCAATTGGGAATGTTTGGTTTTAACATAGAGCTATATACCATTCCTTTACTAATATTAATTTCATCAGAGGATAAATCAGAAATTTTTTCATAGTTACAAAAGGCTTTTGCAATTTCAACGTTATTAAGTTTTTTTGAAGTTGCAAAACTTAAGCCAAAACCTAGAGCAGCAGTTGCATTTTTGTCTAAAATTTCATCTGATAAGTTAATTACAAAATTGTTATTAGCATGCTTTGTCCAATCACTATTTTCAATTAAAATGTCTAATTTTTTTTGTAGTTTGTTTTTGAGTTCATTACAAAATTCTTCGAGTTTATTATAGCATGATCCAACATACTGTGTTTCCATTCTGATGGAATGGCCTGATTAAAAGAGTTTTTTGTTTCTCAATATTTTGAATGCTTCCTTCTCCTCTATTTTAGTTATTTCAATATGTTTCTGAAGAATAATTCTCATAAAATCATCAAAAGGACGATCTCTCATGTCAATTGAGTCTATTGGGTAAAAGAGACTTGGGCAGAAACTTGTTCATTTAAACAATTTTTAAAAAATTAAGT